TCATTTATTCCCACGTGTTGGAGCATTTGATGAATAATTGCACCGGTGGAGCTTTTATTGATTTTTAAAATAGATAAAGAGACACCTCTGCATTTATCCAGAGATATTCCTTTCCCTCCCCCCCCCCCCCAAAAAAAAAACAAACCCAAACAATATTAAATAAAACCAAATAAGATTATTTTGTGATCTTATACTTTGTAAGCTTTGGATAGATTTTCTGTCTTTTGTTTTTTTTTCTTCAGTATTTATACAAATGTAGGAAAGTTCAGTTAAGGCCATGCATTCTTTACAGACTAAGGAATAGCTGATGGATGCAAAATCACCTTCTCCAGTGAATGGGTGTTGGGAACCACTCAGTTCCTGAGCGTTAATTTGTTAGGTGGCCAAATGGTTCTGCAATGTTGTGAAAACATTTTACAGAAAATGCACTTTTCACAAATCTTTCCAAGGGTGCTAGTGACCTAGTCTGTCTTAGTGGTTGCAGATGGCTCCTCTAAACACTGTTTTGTCCATTTTGTGATGTGTTTGTCAAATGCTTGCCATTGCTAACTCAGTATGTTCCTGACTGCTGCACTGGCGATAAAAGAAGTTGAAGCATTCTTTGTTGCTGTTGCATGTTGTTAATGGTGGAGCCAACAAACACTGTATTTTCATCTATTGTGGGGCAGTTGTGTCTTTTTTTCCCCCCTCCTCCCTTTGTAATTGAGGAATTTAAAATGAACTGATCTGCAAAGCAGCCAGATTTGAACAGAGCTCGATGACTGTTTTTTTTTCTAGGCTGCGGTGCCAGAAATTAGATTTTCAAGAGAAAGTCTAATAAACTACAGACTGTTGAGCTGATGTGATAATTATTTCTGCACCTGGATCTCAATTCAACTGCCTATCCTTATTCATTAAGCACATACTTTATTCCAATTAGCCTCAACAGTATGTAAGTGCTTGCTTGTGTGGTTTGCTAAACCTGAAAGATTTTAAGCATATGCTTAAATACTTTGCTGAATTGGGACCTTAGGTTTTTTTGAAGAGATTTTTTTTTCGAGAGAGATATTTAATAAGGCCTATTTAAATGTTTGTTTTTAAATCCTTTTTTGGGGGGGATTACAATAGCTGGTAGTGGTCTCATTTCCAAAAACTTTCTTTGATATTAGATTTTAAATGCAGCTATCGTCTAACCTGATAGTACCTAAAATAAGGGAAATCCAGGTATACTTTTAAAGTTATTTCCTTGTCAAAGATGCTCAGCTGACAAGTCATGATACAGCTTTTCTATTTGTCAGCCCTGCAGATTCAGTCTAGCCTTTTCTTCCATAGCAGCTAGCTTCTGCAGCTCAGCCTTGCGGTCTCTAGGCAATAGATTTTGACTTCCTTGGCACCTTTGTGGCAGTATCAAGAGAGACATAAGGAGGCGAACGTTCAGGTAGCTGGAACTAAGGTCATAGTCCAGCAGGCTGTCTTTCAGGAGTGGGCTTGAGTCACACTGAAAAGACCTGGAGACAGCTGCTATTTTTGTAGCACCTATTCAAGATTTCCCCAAGGTGGTTATTCCGTTGTGAAAATAAATCGCCAAACCATGTATTTTATGTTGCTCAAAGAGAATATTTTTTCTCCCCCTCAAAATAATTAAATTTCACATCTCCTACTTGATTATCTTTGGGTATTTTGATTAAAGCTGTAAGGCACTATGTTATAAATGAGTTGGTAAAAAGATTAAAATAAGAACAACATCCTTCTGAAATGTCTTAATGTTTAGCAAGAAACTCTAGTATGCTCTAATACTTCTTTATGAATTGTCAGAAAGCTTCTGCTTGGTATGTAAAATAGAGACACCTGAAGTAGTCAAGAAGCTCATAAGCTTGGGGCATATAAAAGAATTCCAAATAAAAGTGGTCTAAGTTATAATTAGTGAGTTTCAAGCTAAAGCCTTTTTATCCTTTTAAAATCCTTTAAGACAATTTTTCCACATTTTCATATTACTAATCAGCATTTGTTTTATGAAGTAGCATTTAGAAAATAGTCTGGTCTCTTTTTATGGAATCATCTGCTGGGGAACTCCATTTTCTTGGAGTCCAGTTGACTGCAGAAGCACCCTGTGGTCAGGGAAAGTATGTAAGAATCAGTGAGAGCAGATGCTGATTAAAAAATTAGGCTTTTGGACTGCAAGCTTTAAAGGAGATGTTTAGGAAAAGAAGTCTGTTAACTGTTGTTGGTTTTTTATAGGAACAGTGGCAGCTGCAGCAGGTCTCCACCCTGGCCAATGCATCATCAAAGTGAATGGAATTAATGTCAGCAAAGAGACTCATGCAAGCGTTATTGCTCATGTCACGGCGTGCAGGAAGTACAGGCGGCCAATGCAGGTATGTCTCACTGGGTACCCTTGCAGATTTTCTTCTAAATTTTTTTTTTTGGTCAAAGTCAACAGTGTGGTGTTTATCTCTGTCCATGTATCTGTTGTGTTTGAGTGTGATGTGGGGAAAGGAGTGGTGGATAAAAGTGAAGGGAAGCTAGTTGAATTACAAAAGCTGAAGACTTCTCAATATATTGCTTATCTTCAAGGTCTATTTAATTTCTACACTGAAATAAATCTAAGCTTATAGCTAATTTTTATATGGTATTTTTTAGGATTATATCAAGTGTTTCTGCAGTTATATGCAGAAAGCATTACGAGGAATGTTCTCATCATGATGGAGAGGGATTTACACAGCTTGCTGGCTGCTCAGCAGCATGAGAAGGCAATGCAAAAAACTGGTAGTCTTCCAGAATTTTGTAACACTTCAGCACATAGAGAGCAGAGTGCACATATTCCATATATAAAAGTCTCTGTGTTCCCATTGCATTCCAATCTTGGGAATAAACATACATTGAAGGATGCAAAATTTCACTTTTTTTAATGTAAGCATGCAATTTTTGTTATCTTTTTCACATTAGTATAGAAGAAAATATAAGGCTTCCAAGGCACAAATTTAAGGAATAAAACCAAAACCAGCTGGATTCTATAATGTAATTTTTTCAAGTCTCTGCAAATTTTTCATAAACTATGAACTGATATCATTAATTAACTTCACAAACTCTTCCAGTGCATGTTAATTGAGAAGAAAAATCCAATTAAAATCAAGAGTGAAATCCTTCTCCCACACCTACTGCATAGATATGAGCTAAGAATTATAAGTAAGAGTGAGTTAGAACTGTGTATGCAAATTTATGAAAATGTTTGTCTGGTTGTTTGTGTTCAAACTCTAATACAGAATTGAAGTTGTTACATAGCACATCAAGATCAAGCTTGATCTGTTCTTTAAAGGAAGATGCACTCTAGTAAAGAGAGGGTGCTTTGTGCACTAATAGCAAAACTGGCTAGAATAAAAGATAAATTAAATTCTTTATAGCAGGTGTGTTCTCTCTGTGTGTAAGTGTGGAGTTCCTATAGAGATTAGTGACATCCAAAGAGGATTGATTAATGTAGGCTGACATGAATGCCTTGACGTGCAAAATTGCCCTGTTTTTTTTATCCATTTGTGTAGTATGTTGGAGTACATAACTGGTTTTCCTATAGAGAGTATTTATTTCAATCTAAAAAAGTAGCTGATCATAATTCAGCAAATTGCAAATAACTAAAATCCCCCAGACTGACAAGAAACACTTCATTCAGGATGTAGTGCTATCAAATGCTATGGGAGAACTGTCTAGACTGAAATAAATGGCAGTATTCCCACTGGTGTCAAGACAGCTAAAATTTCATTTCCTATTCAGAAATTTGGGGTTTTAATTATTTGGAAGATGACTATGGATTTCTCCTATTTTCTAAGTACAGTGCATTAGCCTATCATTTAATTAACACAAATGTTGCAGTCTCTCCTGTGGTTGGCAATTGCGTAATTGAAAGGGGATCTTTTTCAGTTTCCTGTATATTCCACTTAGGGTGAAGAGTCTCCCTGCTTGTCTGGAGTGTGTCGTTTCATTTCAGATTCTTGCAGTGTGAATAACTGTGTAACTTCTGTTGGACGATGTTTATATTCTTTGTGTCTTGTCTGGATAAAGATAATTGAAAGCAGATTTTACTTTCTGGAATTACGTACAATTTATTTGCAGTGATACTAATCATGATGTGACAGATTTATGCTTAGTTTGTGCCTCTATAATGCTTTTGGAGAACATTGCTCCCAACCATATTGCATTATGTCTTGTGTTAACTTACGAAAGAGGGACTTCCAGTTTAAGTTAATCCTTCCATTAGGCCATATTAAGTTCAAATAATGAAGGAACCCTTTGACATGATGTAAATCTCCTATTACAGATTGGCATGGCAGTCTTAATGCTGCCAAGCAAACCTGTAAGATTCTATAAATAAGGAGCAAGCTTTCAGGTGTACCTGCAAAGAAATGCGGGTTTCAGAAGTGTTTCTGTCGATCAGCTTGTGCACAGGTGTCTTTCAACAATCAACAGAGAGCTCTGAAAATTAAGATTCCTTATTAAAATATTTCAGCACCATTGAGTGGAAAGTAAGGCATGGATGAATCTGGGAAACTTGGAAAGAAATAGTACCTTAATCACACAAATATTTAGTTGTTTATGATTAATGGGACAAAGATAGCGGCTGAATATTGTATATTAGCAAGGCATAGTTGGATGTACTTGGCATTTTGTGTGAAAATTGTAACGTTCAGAATAAACTTTTGCTATCCTTGCTTCACTTTAAATTTCTCCGTAAACTTCTTTAAAGTCTATGAATTCAGATTAGTCATTAGTCATTTATTCTGCTCTCGCTGTTGGAGACGGAGAGCTTCTTTTGAAGTTTAAGGGGAAGAGAAGGGTAGTCTGGAGATACCATGCTTCATAGGGCCTTCCACAAAGATGAGATGGGCATGTGGCTGAGTAAGTGAGGGGGGAGAACAAGATGTGAGGCATAAACGTGGCTTCTTCATAGGCTTTATGACCAAGCCACCATTCCTGTGTTCACGTATCCCTCAGTCACAAAAGATGCTTGACTTTTGGGGCCTGTGATTCTGTCCTTTTTGGGGGTTTTGCTAATCTGGAGGAAAAATAGAGAACATCTACTAAAGTAACTGTAGTAAAGGCAAATACAAGTAACAAAGGCTGTAGTGTATATTCTTCTTGCCAGTGACACATGGGTGATAGATTAACTGGACATTCTGGATCTTTGGTTGGTATTCTGTAATATTTGCCAGCAGGTTGTGGATGCGCAGCAGATTTAGCAAGGCAAAAATCAGTTCTCTTTATTTTTTCACAATTTCTTGTCTCAAATATTTTTCAATCTGCAGTTTGATTTGAAATGTCTTAAATTATTTTTGGCAGAGACATGAAACTGATGGATGTCATGCTGCCACAGATTTCATACTATCTCATGACAGTATACTCTGAAACAAATAAGCTGACAAAATGTTTCAGATGGTTGTAGACAAAGCCAAAATTCTCTGTAATTTTCAAAATATTTTTAACTTAGACCTCAGAAGGCAATAAAGCTGATAATAATCAGGGAATTAAAGCAACTACTTCATGTTTGAGAGCAGTGAAATAAGTTGCTATCAATTGCACTTGCACAGCTTTTCCTAGCTGTCTTTTTTTCGTTGTTTTTTAGCAAGATTCTATACAGTGGGTTTACAACAGCATTGAAAGTGCACAGGAAGATCTTCAGAAAACGAACACCAAACCCTCTGGAGATGATGGAGGAGATGCCTTTGACTGCAAAGTGGAAGGTATGTGATGCTTGTTTTGATTTTGTTGCTCAGAACATTGGTGTAGTAGCAAGGAAAATATAGGCAGTGTTGTTTTCAGAGAGGAAATTGCAAGGAGACCGTAAGATGTGTTTTACATAATGATTTGCTTTTTTATGTATTCTAAAGACATAAATGTAACATGCTGTTCTCTGAAAATTATTATATTTCCCATTTCAAGAAGAAGCTTCTGTGAACACTTTAGGGAAAATCTGTTCACTTTTCATTCATAGGATACGTGATCCTAGGAATTACCTGATTTATTTTCACCCTAGTAATCATTTAAGGCTAAATTGGATGAGTTAGTCACTACTGCATGAGAAATAACGAATCAGCTATCCTTCAGATTATTTTCAGGCAATTAACATTTAGATAAATCTGCATTCATGTGCATGATGGTAATTAAAGAGACAGTTAACATGTGAACTGTATTTATGTTCTCTGGCTAAATGCTGATATTGTCGTTTCATTTCTGAATGTTGACACTTTTCATGGTCATTTTCTTCTAATTTATTTAGAAGTTCCCAGTTCTCCCTTTTTTTTGTTGTTGTTGTTGTTGCTTTTTTATGACTCTGGATTATAAATTAAATTGAATTAGTCCCCTTTAAGACACTTCTGTGACTTGTCTGGTCATGCCTCCTTACCAGTCTAGTATTTTAGCATCCATAAACCTACTGGTGTTCTGATTTTTAAATCATTCAGCTGGTAGCTGGGTTTTTTGATGAACGTTTTTAAATAGAATGGTCAGAGCATACCTCTTTCTAGAATGTTTGCCTATGTCCTTTCTAGTTTGTTTAATGGCCAACCCTGCTCAACCAATTTGTATTGTTTTCTTTATTCTAGAGGTAATTGATAAATTTAACACTATGGCAATAATTGATGGGAAGAAAGATCATGTGAGCCTGACTGTTGACAATGTTCATCTGGAGTATGGAGTGGTTTATGAGTATGACAGCACAGCTGGAATAAAGTGCCACGTGTTAGAAAAAATGATTGAACCAAAGGGATTTTTCAGCTTGACTGCAAAGGTATGAAGCACTGTATATATTAATCCTCACTATGCTTAATACCAATGGAGCAACATCTGTCTTTTGCTTATTCTTAGGATTATATTATTTGATTTCATATCTTATATTTGGTCATCTTTATCCCTCTGACATTTGGAGGATGACTGTGTACTCAGGAAGCAAACTAAGTTATGGTGCGGTTATGAGTTGAGCCTCTAAACTGAAAAAATGTTAAAGAACTTTAAAGTCTTCCTTTCCTCCTGCCCCTCTCCCTTTTTTCTTAAGTATCAAATAAAACTTGAAAGTCAAAGACTCACTGAAGTATCAAAACTTGGTGAAGGTAGGCTGTAGTTTCCAGAAGTTATTTAATCTCATCAGAATTGCCTGTGCAACTTTTAAAATTTGTTTCAGTAGAGGGAGTAGCACAACATCTGTCGTTTCTGTGCCTGAAAGTAAAATAAAGCTGTGAATGTACAGGTGCACACATTGGCAAAATCACAGAGGAAGCAAAAAAACAAGTGCAACTTTAGAGTTTACTTTGGAGTTTTTATATTGTGAATATTTCCAAGTGGTAAAATCTGTGATTGCTATGAATGGGATGTGATTTTTTTTTTTTAATATATATAATCTGGTATTATCTGGGTCAGATTGACAAATAATGTAGTATATAGCTCTTCTAAGTTTCACACACATATGCATGCTAACAAAGTACACTTAATAACAAAAGCCCAAACTTTTGGGGACTGTATTGATGTATTGCCATCAGAAGTGTAAACTAAAGTACTGATCTTTTACTGAAATGACTGAGGCATGGGCATGTGTTTCTTTTCCCTGACTTCACTTTGGAGCAGGTCAGGTTGACAGACAGAGGAATAACTTCTTGCACCAACATCACAAGATTTGCTAGAGCTGGTCTAGTCATTGCTTTGAGTCATTGGCCTGAAGGATGTTAATTCTTGTCATTAAAATTTCATATAAAATGTTTAAGGTATTGTTTCCTAACTGCTTAAGAAATATTTTTCCATTGTTGTATATGGAGTAAAGAAAAGAAGTACTTCCAGCACACTGATTCTGGCCTTAAATAATGTGGTGTCATCACCCTTAGTGTTTAATTAAGTATTTAGCTAATTAAAGATTTCAAAATGATTAAAAAACAATAAGGAGATGCAATGTGACTATGTTAGAATAATATAAAGTTTGTATCAAGTGATAGTGGTCTAAATGACTACAAAAGGTCCACTGATAGAAAAATGACTTAACTTAAAGGCAATAATAAAAATTGTAGTGGCACTTTATCAAATATAACTGTCTGCAAATGGTTTTAAATACTCTGAACATTAACATCTTTGTGCATTCAGTGGGGTCTTATGCTTCTCTCCATATGCTGCTTCTTCTCTTTGCTGTGTATTTATTGTTGCTTTACATTTGTAAACATCTCTATTCTGTATCATAGGTAGTAGGGGAGTGAAGTAATCCTGAACTGCTTTCCTATATTGTGCAAATCTTTGTGTTAATTATTATGATGAGAAGGTATCCAAAGTTGTGCTGCAAAAGTTACTGGTTTTGAATGCATTTATTTTAATATACAGCTGCAAAAAGACCCACTTGAATTATTTAAATTTGTATTATTAAACTTGACATAAAGGAAGCTCAAAAGTATGACCAAAGTGACTGAGGTGTTCTAATACAGTAATTAAACACAGTAGCAGAAGAGTTAAAGGCATTCCTTAATTCATCCTGCTGGGGACCTGAGAAAAAAATTCTTGCAGGATCTATTAATTTATATGTGACTCCTTAAAAACTTCAGATTTTGCCCTCCAAAATTTCTGTAAACTGTCATTTTTTTCTGAATGCCTTGGTCAAGCTTATAAATTGTCTGTTACATCTGTGATGGTGGATGGTATAATAATGAACTGTAGCAGAAGTGAATTACAGACATGAGTCCCATGATGGATTAATACTGTATGTGTTGTTTGTCCAGACTTCTTTGAGTATCTCTAAACTGTGAGCCTTTTCTTATTTAGGTGCCTTAATCTGGATTTTGAGTGCCTTTGTTAGAAAGTTATTCTGGGTGTTTTTCAAGCACATCTTCAGAGTTGGACCCAACCAGCAATAGGCATCTCCCGATTTCCATAACACAGTGAATTTTAATGCCTGAAATGTAACTCTAACTCCAAAAAAAAAAGGGGGGGGGGCTATATACTGCCCTCATCTCTTCAACATGCCCTTTTTTTTCAGTTTTCTATTGCTATCATTTGCTGGTGCTATTTCCATCATAGCAAGACTTCAGTCTTTGCTGGGCAGTACAGCTTATTCTGTTCCCTATTTCCTGTTTATATATGCAGAATGTACAAGAGGATAGCACTCGCTTTTCTTGTATGCTTTTTCAATGTGTTAGTATTGCTTATGCTGCCAGACAAAAAATTTGCTACAAGTAATGAATGAATTCATCAGCTTTGCATAATATGTGCTGTTCAAGTAAATACAGCAGATAATGTATTTCAGAGGAGCCATAGTGATTACATTAGTAGGAAATTAGTATTAAATCCATTATCAGACAATGTCATGAGAAGCCAAATAAAAGTAGTTCTTATGGGTATAACTTATGCAGGGGATAGATTTAAAGAAACCTCTTTGCTTCCCAAGTTTCATTAATTGTTATGCAGCATTGCCTGTAATCTTAAAAAGCAACTGATTATCAGGCTTTTCAGCTTTAATTATAAGGGGTGATAAGTAAAGGGTTCAGTAAGGGGTTATCTTAGTCATCTTATTTCATAACGTACTGCTCTTGTTTTTATTATCGTAGATTCTTGAAGCACTGGCAAGAAGTGATGAACATTTTGTGCAGAATTGCAACAGCCTCAATTCCTTAAATGAAGTGATCCCCACTGAGCTTCAAAGTAAATTCAGTGTCATTTGCAGTGAGAAAATTGAGCATATCTACCGAAGAATCTCTAGTTATAAAAAGGTATGACCAACATGTCCTAAGCTTGCTGATATTTGTCTGTTAAGGGAAAAACAGGGGAATGAGATACAGTTTGAATAACTTCAAAATGTCTATTGCAGTGACAAAAATATGGCTGAAAGTTTAGCTATTTTGAGGCGTGAATGCCTAAACTGAGTAAGTGCATAAATTGTTTTCAAACCATGCTCTTTATTATCCCTTTTTTAGACACTGGGTTGATCGTATCCGTTCTTGCTTGCTGTGTTCAGTTGTAGATACAATCAACTGCATATTTCCCACAAAAAGCCCAGCGTTCTTGTAAATGCCTTAAACCAATACTCAAGTGAATTTGCAGATGTTAACCAAAAATGAAGCAATAACAGGAGAAATTTTTTTCCCTTCTAATGTATCTTAATTTTAAATACTAAATTGTGAGCCTTTTATTCATCTTTTATGCCCTTCAAATTGGTATGACTTTTTCTAGCATGACTATTAATAGTAATAGCTCTTTAAATTGTTAGATTAACTTGGGTTAATAAAACATTATAGCATGGAAAGAAGGAGAAGGTCCTGACTTTCATACACTTGAGATCTAAATTAATGAGATGTGAATGAATAAATAACCCAAAGTATGACCTCTAGTTGCTGTCAATGTGTTTCTCTGTAGTTGTTTAGCTAAGCAGGGCATAAATGAATCAACGATTTGCCAATTTGTTAATGCAAACTTATTTTCTCATCCCGGCTTCTGGTTTGTCTCCCATACAACCTAATTCTTGGGAGTTTGGAACTAGTTTGAAGTAGGCCTAAAATGGATACATAGAACTGGCTCTGCCCTGTCTTATCACAGTTGGGGATCTAAGTTGTGACATTTACAAACTGGTCTGTTCTGATAGTTAATATGCAAAATATTGAAAAGAAAAAAAAAAAAGAAAGGGAAAAGGAGGTTCAATGTAGAAGCTTCACACAGTTCTAAAAGTTGAATGGAAAAGAACAGGTAATGTTTTCTGGTTTTTCTAAGGAAAAGGAGGGAAAACTGTAAGGAAAACCTTTAGTTCAGTAGGATGAAGGCCAAAAAGCGGCTTTCCAAAGACTTTTCAAGGTGCTTTCTGACAAGAAATAGAATAAACTGAGTTGAGGCACAGAAGGAGACATCAAAAGGATTCTGATACTGCATTACCAAACATCCGATCTCTCTGTTGTTTGCCTGAATTATAAACCTCTGTGTTTTCAAATTGATTAAAAATCAAAGTATCTTTTTTAAAAAACAAATTAATTAGTTTTAACATTAATAATAGTGTATTTAGAGTTCAAGTAACATGTACGTTGTTCATACCTTTCCTGTAGCCAAAAAATGTATGATGTACAGTCTTTTTACAGGACGCCAAGACAATAAATGAAATTTTATTGTGTTATGCTGGTTATGAAATGAACAGCCTCAGGGAAGTTTTCATAGTGCTTATACTGTCTAGAAACAGATATTGCTGATACAGACTGCACTTTCAAGCTCATCTGCTCAAAAATCAGTATTTTCACAGATACAGCTTTTAATGACAATTAGTAATGCAATGAATTTCAGGAATAGATATGTCGTTTTCTTGGCAAGGTAAAGGTAACCATAGTTACAGGAGACTTTCGGAGCGCCTGAGCCCGGCTTGGCTCCTGGTTTCACTGTGAAAGTTCGAATTCTATAAATAGAAACCCTGTAGATTTCTGCAGTTCCTACTATTATTATTATCAGAACATTTTGCTCATAATAGGCCTCAAGTGCACTGCCATGAGTCCCAGATGTTTCTGAACACATATATGAAAAGAATTTTGGGCCTGACTTATGACCTGATTAAATCATAGCCAGGCATTTGGTCTCTCCGGAGCAGGATGTGTGGGAGATTGAGATGTGAAATATGTACTGCTTGCAGGAACATTTTCATCGTTGAATGTCCTTAGTGCCCTTCTTAACTGTTTATACATTCTTCAGCCTTCGAACAATTCCGTAATTGGATTTCTTGTAATCTTCCAGATCTTGTTC